CAGTAGTAAGTGCAGAGGCAGGATGCAAGCCCAGGTGGTCTGGCTCTGTCATCACGCTCTTAGCCATAGCCTGACTGACTCTCTGGGAAACCAGCTCTGGACTAGGGACAGACCCTGACTATCCCAGATGCCCTGGGCTACGGCACGGCAATGTCAAGTCAGCAGGGTCTTCACCCTGGGGCTGGAGCCATAGGTCGTCAGATACAATAGTACCTTGGACTAATACCAGAAGGACAGGCAGAGCAAGTGTTCATGAGGATGTGGAGAAAAGGGGACGTTTGCGTACCATTGGTGAGAGTGTAAATTGGTACAGCTATTATGGAAATCAGTACAGAAATTCCTCAAAAATTAAAAAAAATAGAGGTGCTAGAAGGTGGCATCGTGGTTAAGGCACTGGATTCCCACATGGCTGACCCTGGTTTATGTCTAGGACCTGGTGGCTTGAAAATCATGCCAGGCATGTGTGTGTGTGTATGTGTGTGTGCCCAAAATCCCAAGAGGAGAATGGAGAAGGGATTTTGGTGTGACCAGCCTTGCTGGGGGGGTGATTCTCACTTTCCCTCTCTCTGTCTTAGTCTCTCTATGGTGAGTGCATGTGCCCTATGGTTAAAAAAAAAAAAAAAAAAAAAGGAAAAAAAGAAAAAACAACACCAAAAAAAAAAAAAGAAAAAAGAAAACTCTAAAAAATTAAAAATAGAACGATGGTCCAGCAGTCCCACTTCTGGGGATATATTCAAAGAAAATGAAACTAGTCTCTGAGAGAGATACCTGCACTTCCGTGTTCACTGCAGCATTATTCACATAGTCCAGTATGGAACCACCCTAAATATTTGTTGAAAGATAAATGGATAGAGAAAACGTGGTGCATAGACACACAGTGGACTGATTCAGCCATAAAAAAGGAAGAAATCCTGACATTTTCAACAATATGAATGAACTCCGAGAGCATTATGCAGAGTCCAAAAAGCCAGACACACAAAGACAAATACTGCATGATCGTACTTAAATATGGAATCTTAAAAAGTTGGATTCATAGAAGCAGAGAGTGGAACAGTGGCTACTAGGGTTGAAGGGAGGAAGAAACAGAGAGATGTTGGTCAAACCTTCAGTTATAAGATGAAAAAATTCTGGGCCTGCAGATGACGTAGCAGTCACGTTGCTGGACTCCCACATAGCTGACCGCAGTTGGAGTCCCAGACCCGAAACATGTCGGACATCTGTCTTTGCGTGCTCAAGATCCCATGAGGAGATGGGAGGAGAAGGGGTTGCAGTGTGGCATCCCTCCTGGGGGATGATTTTTCACTTTCCCTCTCATTGTCTCTCTCCGATGAGCATGTCCTATGGCAAAAAACCTTAAAAAACATCAAAAAAAAAAAAAAAAAAAAACAACATGAGAAAATTCTGAACAGCTAATATACTGCATGGAAACTGCAGCTTATATGACTTTACTGTGTATGCAAAATTTGCTAAGACAGGTCTTAAGGGTCCTCCTTACACACAAATGCACGCACATACACACATGATCAATAGTAACCACACAAGGTGACAGAAGTGTTCATCAGTTGATTGTGGTAATTATTTCACAATGCATGTATATATCAAATCATTGTTTTGGATATCTTGCATATGTACAATTTTTATTTGTTTATTGTACCTCAGTAAGGTTACAAAAAGTTTTTTTTGTTTGTTTGTTTTGTTGTTGTTGTTGAGAGTTTTTTTTGCTATAGGGCTCATGCGCTCGCCAGAGAGACAGAGACAGAGAGACAGAAAGCGAGAAATCAACCTCCAGGGGGATGGCCACGCCGTAATCCCTTCTCCTCCATTCTCCTCTCGGGTTCTTGGGCACACACACCATGTGCCAGGGGTAAGTTTTAAGCCACCGGGTCCGGGACTCAAACCACAGTTGACTACATGGGAGTCCAATGACATAGCCATTACGCCAACTGCTGGTCCCAGCATTTTTATGTGTTTAAATATATTTATTATTTTGTGTCACTCCCACTATAAAATAAGCACTCCGTTGTATGCTCTCCTGATGTTCAATACCTGGCACACAGTAGGTGCTCAATGATGTTTATAGAATCTCCTTTGGCAAACCCAAGGATCCCCAAGTCAAAGGTAGTGCAGTAGAACATGACAGACTTGCCTGACCTCTGAGGCAGCTGTTACTGCTGCAGTGAAAGGGGGATGATGACTGAGCAGGGAATGGACAAGGCACCCCTTGTCCAAGTGGGTGAAGCCCCACACTGACAACATTTTGCAGAAACAGGAGTGATCTCATAGGAAACCCAGAGCCCTGCCTGGCTGACTACAGAGATGTGTTCCTTCCTGAGCCCTCCCAAATCTGGGAGGGAAACAGATCCCATTTCCAGTGCTGACGATAAAAGTCATTACGCAAGGTGAATGCTGGACTCCAGGAGAGGGGAGCTCGGGGAGAGGTTTAGGTGACAAGGTGGGAAGCTGGTCTTCATGCCCGGTGAGCAGAACGTGGTGCCGAGTCATCAGGCAATGCACAGTCTCAACAGCTGGGACTAAGTCGGTTTAGCAAGAGACTCAGCCTCACGGTCCCTCAGTCCCCTCATCTGTAACTGGGGGCCACACTACTTCCTGATGGGGCTGTTGTGAGGATTGAAGGAGGCAGCCTCGGCCAAGGGTTTAGGCCCAAGCCCGGCACATGGCAGATGCTATGTACCTATTAGCTGGATTTACTACTGCAATGTCTGTTTCTGTTATTACTCTCTGCAGGGAGCCAGTCTGGAGACAAGGTCTGGGCTTTAGAGGAGGGCAACTTCCAGGTGGGAAACTGCCAGGAACCAGTCAGACAGGCCCCAAGGGCCCCTTCTAGTGAGTGTGCTCTGCCGCCTCCCCACAAGTAGCAGGATGGCACAGTGGTCACAGCAAGAAGGCATGGACTGGCTGAGCCTGAATCTGAATCCTGACTCTGATGTTTACTCACACCGTGGGTATTGGGATTTGCCACTAACCTCTGTGCCTCAGTTTCTTCACCTGTAATATGGGGACAGAAGTAGTACCTATCTCACAGGTAAATCGTTTAGAATAGCACTGGGTGTTAATTTTATTAATAATATTGGAAGCAGAGAGCTTAAGCACCTCAAATCTACAGAAATAAGGTTCTACATTGACCGTTGTGGACACGGTTGAGAGAAACTCTCTTTGTATTGGTGGAATGGAGCCGTTTTGTCCCAAGGCATATTTGGATCATAGGTAGCATTTCCCTGGAGTGGCCACTAGGTGGCAAGTGTGCTCTTTCCTGCCTCACCTGACCAGGTCAGAAGCTAGTAACAGGCTGCAGGTGGAAAGCTACCTTTTCAGTGCCAGATGCCAGCTGCAACCTCTGCTTCCTTTGACCACAATCCTTAGGTTACAGGAGATATTCCATCACCAATGCCAAGCACAAAGCCTGGCATGTGGTAAGGCTTCAAAAACTTTAAAAAAATATTCTTGCTATTGTTGCTATCATTGCCATTTTACAGAGGGATTGAGGCATGGAGAAGGGAAGTCAGCAGATGGGGTCTGAATGTGAAGCCAGCCCTGAAGGTGACTGCAGGCTCAACCCCTTCACCTTCTACTTCAACTCAGGGGAAGCCTTGGGCTCACGTCAAGGCCCTCATTGTGTCTACTTTTACTGTCTGGTTTCTTTCTAGATCTACCGCTTTTTTAGTTACTGTGTGATCTTAAACCAGCTCTCTGGGCTCTCAGAGCCCTGATTGTTTATCAGTAAATAGGGGTTATACCTTCCTTATTGAGGAAATGCGTCAGAAACAGCAACTAGACCAGAGTGGACACTGTGAATGGTGGTTTCTGTGAGTGCCTTATGTAATTACCATGGCCAATATGAGCTCACTAGTTCATTTGTTCATTCATGTGTTCCTTCCTTTATCCCTCCTCTTCTCCCTCCTCTCCTCCCTCTCTTCTTGTCTCCCTCCCTCCATCTTTTCCCTCCCTCGTTTTCTTCCTGACTTCCATTTATGTACTTGGAACTACAAAGCAATCATGATTCCTGCCCCTGTGGCCCTAGTCTGCTTATTCCTAGGACAATTGACACCCAGAGTGTCTTCTTCCCTGCAAGCAACAGGGATTCGGATTCTTCCACCTCCTCTTCAGGCGTCCTTCTGTCTGTAGGACCCAGTCCTTGTAGAACACACAGTTCAAGCCTTTTACCCCACTACTTTGCTTCTAATTCTAGTTCCTGAAGTTTTTTTTGTTTGTTTGTTTTGTTTTGTTTTGTTTTGTTTTGTTTTAATTGCCACATGACATGTGCTCTTGCCAGAGAAAGAATAAGAAAGAGAAAAAGAGAGAAAGGAAGTACCAACAATGGGGCCTGGTCTCACCCATCCCTTCTCTAGTTTTCTGTGTATTGTTGGGATTTGGGGCACAGATGCACATGTGCTCATCATGTTTTTCAAGTTTCCAGGGCCAGGATAGGAACTACAGTCGGCCATGTGGGGTCAGATTTCCTTAAACACTAAGCTGTGAGGCCGGGCCACAACCCATAAATTCTTTAGGTACTACAAGTCATCTTCAAATCTCTCTCTACCTGACTCTCCATTCTACATCAACAATATCTTAACTGACTTTAGGATCAAAGATGTTGTGAGGGTTCCTGGAGCCTTTGGAAGAGAGACATACATGCTAGGAGGATGGAGTCTTCCGAGTTCACCTTTGTTTGCAATGGAGCAGTGCCAGTTTGATCTAATGTATATTTTGGGGCTACATGTAATATTTGGTTCCTAAAGAAAACCATGGAAGTCAACTACCATGATGGGTAGAAAGGAGACAAATTTTGAGATAACTCAGAGAAAATATCCAGAAAACAGAATATGTTTGGAAATATGTTTTAAACTCTGGGGGTGATCTGGAACCCCACTTGCCAGTACCAGTGATGACTAATTGGGGGTGATCCTGTGCTCCTGATCTGAGTGAGGCCTTGGCCAAGTCCTGCCATCTGCACTCAGAACTCTGCCCTTTCTGTGTTGCAGTGCCCTGGTTCCCGAGGACCATTCAAGAGCTTGACAGATTTGCCAACCAGATTCTCAGCTACGGAGCAGAGCTGGACGCAGACCACCCCGTGAGTCCATGGCTCTTAGGATGAGATCTTTCCATTCCTCTCTTTCTCTCTCCTCTTATCCTCCCACTTCCCCTGCTGGGAACAGCATGCTTGTTTACATGTTCAACACATGTATTGAGTTTCTACTTACGCCAGAGCTGGAAAGGCAAAGGCATCAAAGCATCTTTGTCATCATTATTGTCATCACATCAATTTTTTTTGGAGAAGTTTTTGCTATAGGGCATTCATGCTTGCCAGAAAGACAGAGAGAGACAGAGAGACAGAAAGTGAGAAATCACTCCTGGGGGGATGGTCATGCCACAATCCCTTCTCCATTCTCCTCTCAGGATCTTGGGCACACATGCACATGTGTCTGGTGACCATCACATCAATTTTGTTAGAGCAAATAAGAATCAGTGTTCAGGAACCATTGTCTCTATAATATGTGCTAGGTGCACACACACTCATAGTCGTCACCGTTGTCATTGTCATTTTCTCTGCCTCTATACGTTTATGAAGGTTTAAATCAAGGGAAACAGTGCAAGTACTGCACCACAACTCTGCCAGCTGCAGGGCTGGTAGGCAGCAGTGACATTGGGAATGGATCTTCTTTTTTATTCTTTTTTTTTTTTTTTTTTGACGTTTTTGCTATAGGGCATGTGCGCTCACCAGAAAGAGAGACAGAAAGCGAGAAATCACCCCCCAAGGAACATGGCCACGCTGTAATCCCTTCTCCTCCATTCTCTTGGGATCTTGGGCATGCACTCACATGTGCTTGGCATGAGTTTAAGCCGCCGGGTCCGGTTCTCCTGTGTTTACGCGCCCGGGTCCGGTTCTCCAACCGCGGTCAACTACATGGGAGTCCAGTGACATAGCCATTACACAGTGGCTGGTCCCGGAAATGGATCTTAAAAATGGAGTAACAGGAGATGGCTACTGAACTTGAGCTGTGAAATATTGCTTTCAGGGTCTGAAAATGAAGATTTTCTGCTGAGACTTCACCTTCCAGACCCATTTCTAGAGTGGTAGGGCAACCTCTGTATATTTCTCCCCATCTCTCTGTCTCTCTGTGTTTCTCTGTATCTCCCTTTCTTTTGATTTTTTAAAAACTTTTTTTTAAGGTGAAATATTTTGGGGGCTCTTAGCCCCTCCTTTATCTTGCTAATTCTTGCCTTTTCCCGCTCTCATTTATGAGAGGCACAAAGCCAGGTCTTTCTGAGATGGCTGCTGAACTTGAGCTTTGAAACATTGCTTTCATGTGGCATGTGCATGCCGCACAGTTGCCATTTTTTGCTTTATCAAATTAAAATATAAAAATTTTAGTTGCCTTTTTCTTTTCTTTTTTTCTTCTCTTCTGTTTTCCTTTTTCTTTTACCTTCATCTCTTGGCTGCTCAGCCTCCATGCACTGAGTGTCTAGACAGTTCTGAGTCAATAGTATCCAAACATTTGAATACTATTAGGGTCAGAATAATCCTCAATTCCCAGTGAATCAGATGCACAAAGGGTGAAAAATGGAACAGAAGAGAGATTGCAGGTAACCTACTCCTACACGCCTTTGAATGCTCAGATTGAACTTCAAGAATTAGGAAGAAACGTGCAACCTATCAGGTGACCAGAAATCATAGAAGGGGCACAAGAAATATGAGAATGCAAGAAAATACCTCTCTGTCAAGGGGAAAGAATAACTCTTCTTCATTCATAGGCAGTACAATGGAACTCATAAAAATGTCAGATAAAGAATTTAGAGTATTCATAGTGACAAAGCTAACAGAGATACAAGAGAAAAGAGAGAATGAACTCCAGAAGAGGCAGGAGAAAAGAGCCAATGAGTTCCAGGAGGTGAGGAAGTTCATGCACAATCTGAAAGAAGAAATATACACCATAAGAAGGAATCAAATGGAGCTATTAGAGATGAAGGCTGTAATACAGGAAATCAAAACCTCCCTTAAAAGTATTAAAAGCAGATTAACCATATAGAAAATTGATTCTCAGATGTAGAAGACAGACTCACTGGCCTAAAAAAATCCATCACAAAGACTGAAAAAATAGCCCCCCAAAATTAGAATAATATATGAGAAATACTAGATACCATTAAATGTCCAAACATTTGGATAATTAGTATCCCAAAAGGTGAAGAGACTAATAAGGGCATTGATAATCTATTCCATGAAATCCTGGAAGAAAACTTTTCAAACCTAGGGAGGCATTCAAAGATCCAGTCCCAAGAAATACAAAGGACCCCAAATAGAATCAACCCAAGAAGATCTTCTTCAAGACACGTTAAAGCCAATTGACCAAAACTACAGACAAAGACAAGAGACTAAGATTAGCAAGAGAGAAACATCAAGTTACCTACAAATGATATCCCATCAGACTAATAGCAGGCCTTTCATTGGAAACTATACAAGCAAGGAATGGGAAAATATTTTCAAAGTGTTAGGGGAAAAACAATTTCAACCAGGAATACTGTACCTGGCAAGATTATCCTTCATATGAGAAAAAAAGACAAGAACATTCTCAGATAAACAAAACCTGAAAGAATTTACCAACACCAGACCAGCTATCCAAGAAATTCTGAATGGAGTGCTATACCAAGAAAACTACAGACACACAGGAATAAGAGTTCAAAACCAAGATGATGGCCAACTTAATGGTAGGGACAAGCCTGGAGCTGAATGTTATCTCTCTCAGAATTTAAATGGGAAGATTGGACCACAACAGAAGATGGATTAAGTACATGAGATTGAACTGGTGAAACAGAATTTCATGACTTTTGACTAAAACATTACTGATTTTTTCCGATGCCTTGTTTTCCAGAATTAAGGATTTTTGTCTTGTCTTAATGGAATCCTGACCTGTTTCCTGGCTTTAAGTTTTAAGCAAAGCTCTCTTAGCATTTTTAAAATTTTGATTTATTAAAGCTAAAACTGCTTTTCTTGAAATTAAAAAAATATTAAAAAACTACTTAATGGCCACACTAAGCTATATAGCATCAGCTAGGTGCTACTCTATAGTATATTCATACTGAAAGTCTCATGCCTCAAGTCAGACATGTGTTCACAGATATTTACATATCAGCTGAACTCACTATTGAAAGTAGTTAAAAGATATTTTGTAAATCAATAAAATATGGGGGGGAAGGGAATGGAAAGCAACTGTAGAGGAAATCACATTTTGTATGCTGTGATGATGCTCAGTGAATGAACGTAAAATAAATAAATTAAAAGAAAAGAGAACAGAACAAAATGGAGTAGCAGATGCCATTAAGCAAGGAGAGGAAAGGCATCATGACCAAGAGAACAGTGGAAGCCATCTCGGTCCTGAAAGTATCTGAGATATTTTGCAGGTATCTGGTTGCTATGTGAGGTCTGAGGGTGAGAGAGGAGGCCAGGGCAATGGGTTGGAGCTGGATTTAAGAGGTCTGATGTACCAGAAGAGGAGTGTGGACTGTGCCTTGTGTCCTTGGGCAGGAGCTTGGGTCCTTTAATGAGTAGAAGACCCAGATGGGGGAATCTTATCATTTCTTTTTATCTGAGGCAGAGATTCCTGGGGAGGAACAGCCCAGGCTGAGAATCAGGGCTGACTCTCTTTCTGTCTCTGTCTCTCTCGTTGGCAAGCACACATGGCCCATGCCAATTTAAAAACAAAGTATACACATGGCCCATGGCATTTTTTTTAAACTATGAGTTTATTTAGGTACAAAAAAACTCATGCATAGCTTTATTCGTCAGCTACCGATAGCAAAGATGGAGGAGTTCTCCAGTCTTCCACTCTCACATTGACCCTGATGTGAACTTTTGATAGTTTCTTTGAAATTTAGTTGTAAAATTAAAGTAATTGTCCTTGGACTAAGACCGGAAGCTGTATTTAAGTCGCCTAATATATGACTTAAATACCCTCTCTCCAAACCTGAAGTCAGAGGACCTGGGTCCCCGTTCCTTCTTCCTATGTCCAGTGTCTTAGCAATTCTTGAGGAGCCCAGGGCTGGCAAGGGCCACTGCAGAAGAAGCTCTGTATGTCCCTTTTACAGCCTCCTTGTGGCTGAGGCTTCTCAGCTGTCAGCCCTGTAACCATCTCCAACGATGTCACCTCTCAGAACACTGTGTATTTGCCTTGGACCCAGCCTGTACATCAGGGCGTTTTCTCCCCTTACCAACTCCCAGTCTTCCTGCTCCAACATTCCTCCTGCTGGCCTCCCCCTTGCTCATTTAGGCTAATGGGGAAGAAGCCAGTCTGGGAGACAGACATCTCCCTCTCTTTATCGTGGTGTTCCCGCAGAGGCAGATGGGACAGGTCCTAGAACTTTCTGGAATACATTTCTCTCTATAAACCCAGCCCACATCTTTGGCTTCCTGGCCTCTCCCTGTCATGAATTTTATTATAAAAATACAACTTATCAAAGTACACAGTTCCCCGAATAGGAGGTTCCGGCTCTCCCTGTTCCTTTGGTTTCTCATCAGATCCCAGGAATGTGGGCCAAGGACAAAGTAAACCCTCCAGGGTGCTTCCCCGTGCCTGGCCTCAGGGTGTGAACTGCACACAGACAGCAGCCCAGGGGACAGCCTGGCGGGTGTTCTTGAAAGAACCCTCTGCTCTGCACTACCCCTTGCATCCAGCATGTTCTCTTCTTCCTCTGATCCCCTGCTCTTGCCAGAATGCATGAGATTTGACCGAATGGTTCACATCAAGGCCTCCCAAACAGCCACTTTGAGAAATGGGGTGAAAAGATTGTTCCGGAAAGAGAGGCAAACGGGATCTGCATTTAGCTTTAGCTAAGCGGGAAAACGAAAAAGCAAGCTCGATTTTGCTCTGCCCTTTCTGCCCGTTTCTTTGCTCCTAGTCTCCTTTCCCGCCTCTCTTCTTCCTTTCTTCCTTCTACAAAAGTTTATTAAGTTGGTGATGGTACTAGCTAACATTTCGTGAGCATGCCAGGCACCATGCTAAATGCTTGGCATGTTTTTGTTGTTGTTGTTTGTATGTTATCACTGTCCTGTGAGGATTGTCTGTCACATTTTCCAAC